CCGTGCGAACTCAAACGCAACGTGGCGTTCATCTTAGAGTACCGGAATCCTACAAAACTTGTGTCGGAGCCAGGCTATTTCTTCACACACTTGGTCTCTAGTGTGGCTTTTCTCGAGGAGGTTAATGGCTCTAGTCTCACCATTTCGCCTCAAGAATTTGACGAAGAATTGCGTCGAAGCAAAGAGCTGCTCAGAGTGAGAGGTGTCCATAACGAAATAGACCATGAAGTCGCGAGTAATGCCAGTAGCGGCAGTACTGGAGAGACCATGAACGTCTCAGCAAACGAACTGCAGAAAGAGCGACAGCAAATGCTACCTAGTGACACCGGTAAACGGGAACAGGACGAGTCATTGCGTCTTCCGACTGTACTCGAAATTCGTGCAAGACGGTTAGTAATGATCGGAAGCGATTAGAAAAAAAAAATAGTTAGCCAAAATATCTTACCAATATTTTACGTTAGTTGCCTTTCGTGACATTCTCTTGCTTCATGCCTCGTTACTTACAATATCTGACGAAAGTCTCAAATCTTATTTTTCACGCCCCTTTCTTGCTGTTGGTGACGCTGGTGTTGGCTCCGTCTTCACATTTCAAGTCGACAAGGCTGAAACAAAGCGGTGGAGTCAAAATGCCGCAAGTTTTGCCACATCAAGCGCTTGGTGTAGTCGTACGTCTTGGAAGGTCTAAACGCCGAACTAAGCACGTCGTGGGCCATACAAGTACTGAAGAGGTTCCTGAAGCAAACCGCTCAAGCATCAACAGCGAAGTCCGTGAATTGGACGAAAAGTGCAACGATGAAACCAGAGATCGACCAAAGAGACCAGACAAGAAGAGAGTAATGTTACGCTTTGGAGGCCGGCGCTCGCTCTCAAGTCGTCGGCACCAGTTCACTGTTTGGAAGGACCAGGCTGCTAGCAATGCAGTCAAGACACTCCGTGGATGCTACGCTCTTGCTCGACAGGAGTTGACAGCATGGAGAAATCGCTCGAAGACTCCGCCGCATGAAGGACAATCGAGTGAGGTGAAAGCCAGCCCTTCAAAGCGCCCACGAACGAACTCTCGTATTTCAGCCGCCTCGAGCACCAGTACCGTGGGCTCACTATCGTCCACGATTGAATTGGAGGAGGAACATCACAAGGAGCTATACCGCTCTGAGTTTTCTTTTCACGTCCGACGTAGCAGTTCACTTGAGATGAAGCCCAGTCAGCGCGGCTTTGCTGAGATGCCAAGAGGCAGCCACGAGCGTCTGCTGGTTGTCCATGCGCTGCCCCTCAATGACGAAGACGACGATGATGACAGTTCTGTAAACTCACGTCACCTCCCATTCAGAACGGTATGTATCAACGGTCACGAGCGCGTCCTTCACAATGAATGGATATGATTCGGAGCTTGACCGCATAAGCGAGAACCGGTATGATGAACGTCACTTCGTTGTCAACAAAACCGCAATGTAGTTTAATACTCGAACGCGAGGATTTTTAGAATCTACCAGTATTAATACGTATCTCGTCGTTACGATGGTCGATTAGTTGAAGTGATTTCACCAATCGCATACTCGAATCCTCTGATAATCCTAGAGGTATAACCCGTAAGGTCGAACGCTGTTCATCATGTTCGTCATGTGGTTGCCATCCAATCTCCGCAGTTCTGGAGGAACA